CGGCCAGGGGGCCGGGGCATCCCTCCGGGGAAACCAGCGAGGGGGCCGGGGCATCCCTCCGGGGAGCACGGCCAGGGGGCCGGGACATCCCTCCGGGGAGCACAGCAGGCCCCTCACGCCCGCCCTCTGCGCCGCCCGCAGTTGACCCCAACAAGGAGCGTCGGGAGGCCGTGAAGCGGAAGATCACACAGTACCTGAGGCGTGCGGAGGAGATCTTCAACTGCCACCTCCAGCGGGCTGCAGGGGGTGGCAACCCCACCGCCACGGTGAGGGACTGGCGTGGGACGGCACGGGTGGGATGGCAGTGGACCCGTGGCACTAGGAAACCTGGGACACACGCACATAAAGCAGCCCCGCTGAGACTGCTCGACCGCCTCTGCCAGATGGTGGTAAGGTGGCGTAGAGAAAATGGCAGACACATCAGCTGCAGAGCGTCCCGGCATGCCGGTGGCTGCGAGGGAGCTGGCAGCCCTTCACCCTGCCTGGAGCAAAGAGCTGAGGTGGGCCCAGCTTGCCTGGGGCGCTCCCAGGACCCCTCCCCCGAGGTGTGTATGTTTTAGTTTGCAGCCATCGTAGCAAAAATGGCCATTTTCGGTGGGACTGAAGCCACTGGTGGGAACCACCTTGTCAGATGTTAAAAATGTCGTCTTCCCTGTCATTGTTCCCATCTGGATGGAAACCAAAGACGATGGCTGCTTGCTGCATTGTGGGAAGGAGGTGGTTAATGAAGGGAGAGGGGAGTGAGGCCGGGCAGGGTCGGGGCCTGGTGAAAAGGACGAGAGAACAACTACCTTCTGTACAGATCCCCTTAGTGTTGAGGCAGTCCAGGTCCAGGTGTAAATTTTGGAGTGATTTTACATCTGCAGGTGCAGACTTTCCCTGAAAACTTCAGAAATCCAGGCGCTGGCCAAGAAAACGGTCCAGCTGATGTTAGGAATCAACCACGGCGGTTGGAGAGTTGTCTCTGGATGTTAACCAGCCTGGCAGTATTGCTGCCCGCTCTGGAAAATACGGGGACTTCTCCCACCCACTCTCACGGACGGTAGCATCTGCAGGTCCCTCATCCTCTTCTTCACCGCCTTGCAGGGTTACAGCAGCCTGCGCTTCCGGCCGATCAGGACGCTGAGCTCAGCAGTGGAGAATCTGAGGCGGTGTAAGGTTGTGGGAGTGATCAATAAGGTAATGGCTCGACCTGGAACTGGGGAGGTGAGGCTGGGGCTGGACCAAGGGGAGTGTAACCTGGAGGGTCCTGGCGGCTGGGATGGGGGTGCTGGCCCCCAGCGCACCCACCAAGGAACGTGAGGGTTACCATCCACACCATTCCCACCAAGGAAAATTCGCAGGCAAGGATGCAAGACCCTTTAGGGGTTAGCTGGGAAATCTGTTAATGTCCCCATTCCTTTTGCTTACAAGATCTCCCAAGATATTTACGAGGAAGTTGATGCATCCGGTTCTTTCCCATGCACGGAATCGTGCTTGATGCCTGGGTACCATGATGGTGGACTCCTATGGATAATCTAGACCAGCAGAAGATAAGCTATATGGATGAATCAACTAATTAGTAGTGGATCATGATCAACTACTACAGCAGTAGTAGTTCATGATCTTGGAGTGAAGATGGCTTACCGTTTCCATACACACACTGGCATGTTGCTCTCCTGTGCCATTCACACCATCCCAGTTTATCAGGACTGATGTGGCCCTCCTGTCATGCCGAGGCCCAGGTGGGCAGCCCAGTGCCCCCCACAGAGCCCAGAAGGAGCAGTGTGAAACCCTTCGTTGTGAAGGAAGCAAAAATGGTGTGGGAGTCACTTCTTTCTGTAATTAACTCTCTACTCCCTGGCTCCGTGGCTATCTCATTGCTAATAACCTGTGTTTTGTCTTTCAAGGGTAGGGGTTTGAGCACCACCAAGCTCCTCTAGTTGGGTGGGAGTTTGTTGTTCCAGAGTTGAGTCCCTGGGTCATTCCTGTAGGTTGTGTGTTGAGGTGGGAGCACTCGCCACTTCTGACCAGAACTGTATGTACTGCTCCCAGGTGCAGATTGTCCAGGATCCGGCCACTGGTGGGACCTTTATACTTAAGGTGGGTATTTTCAGTTTCATCTGCCTGCTTCTCCCCGTCATGCCAGAGCCTCCTTGTCCAAGCAGATGGCTGGGGCAGGTGACAGGACCAAAAAATAGTAGATCACAGAAGTGTTACAGGAACTTCATTGACCATAAAGCTTCTTTTGGCTGCCTCAGCCATCTTCTGTGACTGGAAGGGAAGTGGTTCTCCTCGGCCATCCATTACTCTGCCTTGTAATGCTGCAAGCCAAGCCTTATGCCCATGTTAATCTGGATCAACCCCTGAAACAGGTGGTGGGTGAGATGTGGTCAGTACAAGTCCTAGGGCGTTTTCCAGTGCCCTTGGAACTAGAAGTAAAGGACTCTAATAATTGGACAAGGAGGCTCTGGCATGACAGGGCGAAGCATCGGTTCCAGACGGGAGAGGAGAGAGGGCTGGGATGACGGGTTCCCATCTGAAGGAAGCAGGGGCAGTTGCAGGGGAAGGCTACTGCTCTGGACCAGCAGTGTCCTCTGGGTCCCGCAGTGCAGGTGGGGAGCACTCTGCCTTGGCAGAGCTTTGCAGAGCCCTGCCTTGTCACAGCTGGGTGCTGGGGGCTGACAGGGAGCTCCATTGCAGGTGACGCAGCGGGGCAGCCGTGGGGCTTAGCAAATGGCACGCTACCTTTCTGGCTGGCCTCCTGCCCTGCCAGGTGCTAGGTTGCAGGGAGTCCAAGCCTCTACTGTGCTGTAACGTCCATCTACCTGTACCTCCTCAGAGCCTCCCCAAATCCCTTGTGGAGACCCGTGAGCGACAGACCATCATCCCTCATGGGGTCCCCTTCATGGTCAAGCTGCTGTGCTACTATGTGAGTGAGGACTCCATCTTCCTCCACCTGGAGCACGTGCAGGGTGAGTAGGGACAGCATGTCTCTCATCTGTGGAGCATCCTGCTCTTATCCCCAGCCTCCCTTTCTTTAAAGTCTCAAATATGTTTCTTCTGCTGGTTTGGGACTGCTTTTTATGGTGACAGCACAAGCTGTCTTCTTCATAGAAGGGTGATGGGTACCAGGGCTTGGAGACTTTGTGGAAGGAGCTGCTCAGCTGTATTGGGGATTCTGGAGGTTTGGTAAGAGCTGACTTGGGGAGGCCTGTGGATACCTACAAGGAGAAAGAGGTTGTGTGTGTAGGGGTGTTATATGGAAACTAGCCTTAGGGACCACTGAGTCCCATGGGAGGGAATGATCATGCCTTGAGGTAAAGAGAGGTTGATGTGGTCCAGTGTCTTGGAAAGAAAAGCCTTTTCATTTTACTGGCATTGTTTGTTCATGACGGGAGAATGATGGAGAAGGATAACCAAGTGAAGTAGTTCACCTGGATGTTGTAGAACAAAACAATCTTTTGATAAAACCTTTATAGAACATTTGTTCGTTACAAAAGAAGAGGCCACACTGGATTTTGAGATCAGACCAGAGAGGAGTTGGGGAATTGGGGCATAAAGGGCAGGGAGCACATTGGGGTTTGGGTAGAACAAGGAGGCAATCTTGGGGCTTGTCCCAGATCCTGGTGAAGAACTGTGACAAGGCGGAGGCTTGTTCCAAGGAGCTTCTTTACTCTCTGCTGGTTGCGTGGATGTGTAGGGAGCAGCAGCTGGAGTCCAGCAATGGCAAATGAAGGCTGACGTGTGTTGGAGAACAGCCTCATCTCCTCATGCGTTGCTGTAGAATTTGCAGAAAGCAGCCAGCAGCTGAATGTGGTGAGGCTGGGAAGGCCCAGCAGTGTGCTGTGGGCGCCAGGGCCCACTGCTGTGGCTCACTGCTGACCCACGGGCTCTGTGCCATGCTGTGGGAGCTCTCTAGCATCGCCGTCACGTGGGGAGGAAAGGCTTTCAGGGGAAAGTGGGGATGGTGGTGGGATCGGGGGCATGTGTGAAGATGTGGCTGGCCTGTGACATGGAAGTGGCAGAGCTGGGATCAAGGAGACTGTGCAGAAAGGGGAGCAGGGCTGCTAAAGGAGGGGGGAATGAGCCTTTGGTGTGCCAGGTCCCGGGGGAGGTGTGGCATTGAGCATGGTGTGCTTGTAGGGCTGGGGAGTATTCTGCATGGACTTGAGCTTCGCTGGGGAGATTAACAATGCTCGGCCGTGCCCTTTGCCTGAATGGGCCGTGTCCGCAGCGGGGCAACCAGGGATGCTTTCTGCCTCATCACTTGTTCTTCTCTCCGCTTTCCAGGGGAGACGCTGTGGTCTCACCTCCGCTCCAAGTACTGTGTCCAGCAGGGCTCTGCCAATTCAAACACCATTCAAGCCCTGAGGGACGGTGGCAGAGAGGACGGTGTGGGAAGCTCCCAGGGCAGCAACCAAGTCTCCATCTTCTCTGCTTGGACAGGCAGTGGCCTCCCAGGCTCTGCGACCCACCGAGTATTGGAAAACACTGATGCCTTGCCCCCTCGGGAGCAGTCCCCCGACCCCATGGACCCCAGCTCAGGGAACCACTGCCGGCTTCGCCTGGCTCCTGCCGGTGGCACAAGGGCTGCATCTGGAGGGCAGGATCTAAGCTTGACCCAGGCTATGTCTGGCGTTGTGGACCATGTTCCAGCAGCATCAGCCAAAGGCTCCAGCCACCTTACCAACCAGGGCCTGGTCATCTACCCCTGGGATGCTCTAACCAGCGGCACGGGCTGCGTATTGGAGAGAGCAGCCTCCCAACAAGACCCCGGGTCACGTGCTGGTGAAAGGATTCCCCAGACACCCGGCCCCGTACCAAAGACTGTGAGAGGGGGCCAGCCAGGGGCAGGGGAGCCGCCATCTCAGCAAGTGTCTGAGGTCCCTTGGGCTTGGCCTCTCCTGACCTCCTCGGGTCAGAGGCAGCTTCGTGTGGAAGTTGCCCCGTCCAGCTCTGGCAAGCCCTGTGGGCCTGACCCAGTGGTGCGGGAGCCCTCACGGGGAGCAAGCTTGACCTGTGGGCAGCTCAGAGAGCAGCCGCTCTCAGGACGGTGCCAGTCTCTGGCTTCCCGTGGGCATGGTCGGAGAGCATGGGCTGTGAAGGAGGAGCAGGTACAGCTGTGGGCAGCGGAAATCCTCCTGGCCTTAGAGGGACTTCACCAGCAGGGTGTATTGTGCCGGGACCTCAACCCCAGGAACCTGCTGCTTGATGCAGCCGGTAGGTAGTGCCCCAGGCTGCTGCCCCAAGGAGAAGGAGGTTGGCCTCTCGGCTGGGAGACTGCCATTTGCCCCATTTCCAGGGACGTGGACTTTCTTGAGTTTGCTTGTTTGTTTGGGGGGGGGGGGGGGGACTCTGGGGAGGTTTGGATGTTTCTGAACCTGGAAGTGCTGTCTCAGTTGGGATTTCCAAGCGGTTATTACAAGAGATGGCTCTGCAGTGGGAGAGTCAGGGGGCGCAGCCACAGGCATGCATTGCCCCTGCTCCCACATGGGGGCCGGCTGCCTGGGAAATCCCAGCACGGGGAAGCTGAGACCAGCTGAACTGTGCCTGAGGTTAGTGGGATTTCAGCTTTCCCCTGCTTGTAGTTACTGCTCACTGGGGTATTCTGGAGCCTGCCCAGCCCTTCAAGCCATGGGTACCACTGTCAGTGCAAGCCAAGTGCACATCCCTGCTCAGCTAGCAACAGCTGGGGCAAACTGGAGAGCTACAAATTGCTTAGGAAAGTAAAAATGCAGAGTGCTTTGCAAGGGGAAAGCTAACCTTCCTCTGTTTGGCACTGCTTCTTTCCTCACTACAGCCTGCCCTGAGGTCCGCGAGCTTGGAGCCCACCTAACCAGTCTCACCAGCTGCACGGGCCTGCTGGGCATCTGGGGCAAGCACTGGGAAGCCAGGGAATGCACAGTGCCTCTGGGTTCAGAGCATGGCAGGGACCCAGTGTCCTGGCTGTTCCCAATTGTGGGGATATGGCTTGGCTTTGTGCTCTGACCAGAGTCCCTAGCTTTGGCTTAACCTCCCTGCTTTTGGCTCTGGTGCTGCTCTGCAGGTCATGTCCGTCTCACCTTCTTTGGCCAGTGGACAGAAGTGGAGCCCCAGTGCTGCAGCCAGGCGCGGGAAGAGCTGTACAGTGCCCCAGGTAAGGGACGCGTCCCCTGCCTTCTCCTGCCCTCAGCCTAGTGCTGCCAACTGGGCAAGAGGGGGGGCTTCTGCAGGCAGCAAGATGTGCCTGGCACGGCACAGCCACTGGCGCTCCCTGCCTCCAGCTCTAATGCCTCTCTGGCTTTTTCTGCAGAAGTGGGGGGGATCATGGAGCCCACCGAAGCAGCTGACTGCTGGAGCTTTGGCTCTCTCTTGTATGAGTTGCTGACAGGAGTGGTAAGAGGCAGAGGAGCTGTGCAAGGAGGGGGGAGGAGAAGGTGGCACTGTAGCACAAGAGCTCCCTGCCATGCAGGGCTGGGAGGGTGCCTTGCCCTGCCGGCACCTTGGCATCGTGCCAGGTTACTTCAGGCATGTGATTCCTAGTGCCCATGCATTGTCTCTGGGTGTTCAAGGCCCCGGGTTTTAAATCCTGCTGTGCAGAGCTGGGGTTGTGTGGCAATGAAGGCTCAGCAGGGTGCTCCTACCCTCCTCAGTGCCTCCACTCACCCATGACCTTCTGCCTTCTGCAGCCACTGTCCCAAAACCACCCTTCAGGGATTCAACCTCACACCCAGTTGCATCTGCCAGAGGGGCTCAGCCTGGCTGCTACGTCGCTGCTCACTGAGGTGAGGGGCTTGGGTGGATGGGAGGGAGGATGGGGCTAGAGGGTCCAGCCTGGGTAGCTTTTCCAGTGTCCCCATCTCCTCATCCTGCTGTCCCATCCCCTTTCTCTGCAGCTCTTACAGTACAACCCAAAGCGGCGTTTGGGCTCTGGAGGAGGTGGCATGGCGAAGCTGAAGTCCCACTCCTTCTTCAGTGCCATCCCGTGGAACAAGCTGGTGGGCTAGGCAGGCTGTCCTTCCTGCAGGGAGCTGGGCACAGAGCCACTGTCCTGGCACTTGTGACCACAGGTGACACTGGCAGCTCTGCCTGCTGGGGGAGGTTTGCCTGCAAGGGCTGCCCCGGGGTGGGGTACGCATGAGGTTTTTGCAGGCTTACGTGTTCTTCTGTCTCTGTTGGTGTCTCTGAGAGAGGAGCCTGAGGTCTGAGCCAGGCTGTCTTCTCCTCTAGGTCCTCCCTGGTGGGAAAGGGAGCCCAGGTGCCCACTGCTGGGGAGGGGCCATGCTCCCCTTCTGGGGCATCCCTTGCTCAGCTTAGCACTGCACCCTAGGACTCCCTCCTTATAGTTTTTTACCTTTGCTGCTACCACGGTGACCCCCCTGCCCTGTTATTTTTTTGTGGCTTCCAAGTGCATCTCCTCTGGGCCCTGCTGGCTGGTGCCCGAGCCTGGGGTCTGTGCCCATCCCTGGCCGCGTGCGTGTGTGTGTGTGCGTGTAATGCCTGCTGTGGGGGCGAGACGGGAGGAAGCCCTCTGCTCTTCTCCCCCGGCCCTCTGAAAAGAATAAAGCACTCGTTACTGCTTGCAGAAGTGTCCTTTTGTTTCTGAGCTGGACCAGGGAGGCTTGGGCTGAGCAAGGGAGGGCCCCAAATCTGTCTCAAACCTGCGTGGGAGCCCTGGGTTGGTGTTGCCCACTGGCTGTCAGCACCCTGCAGCCAAAACCCAGAAGGTGGCACTGAGTGCCTGGCCATCGCCCCTTGTGCCCCTGCCTGCCTCGTGGCCTCTTGGGTCCACACAGCCATGCGGCTGCATCTGAGTTGGGAAAATGCACAGAGTGCCTGTGTTTTCTTCCAGCCTTGACTGCTGTCGTTGTTACCCATTCTGGCTCCAGCCTCCCGTGCCTGGGTGCTCCTTTCTGCTGGCAGGACAGCAGCCCTGCTGCCCTCACTGCTGTGCTTCGAGCACGGTCATTCCTGGTAGAACAAACAGCGAGGGTTTAAAGGGATGAACTCTGAGAACCAGCACTGATGGAAGGAGGATAGGAGTAAATACAAACCAGGATGGAAGAAAAAGAAGCATGAACAAAAGGTGTCTGCCAACAGCCCAAGGCAGAAGCTGCTGTGCTCATACGTGCAAGTCAAAGCCATAGGCTGAAGGACAAGCCAGCAATGGCAGCACTGTAGTTTTGGCCCTCCTCTCCCAGCACTCCCTCCCATTGCTCACTCGTCCCCGAGAGTAAGGAATGACTGGCACCAATGAAACTTTCCTGTGGCTAGCTGGTTCCAGCTCCTGCTTGCCACCAGCAGCAACACCCTGCTCCTTGCTGACTCAGCCTGGCTCTTGGGCAGCAGCAGGAGTGCTTGTCCACCAGAGGGAAGCAGAGCCCCGGAGAAACTCATCTCCCACCGCAGCAAAGGCAGGGGACACCTCAAAGGCTGCGCAGAAGCAAGATGACTAACCAGGGAGCTGACCACTAATGCCAGAGCAGGCCAGATGCCAGGAGCAGCTAAGCCTGGGGCTTTTCCTCTCTAGGGCAGCCTGCACTGGCTGAACCCTCCAGCAGCAGGCTCCCCCCTTGGCCGCCAGCCTCCTAGTCCTGTCATTCAGGGGAGGTTCAGTAGGACTGACTCTTAGGCTGGCAGAGGGGGTCCAAAAAAGGAAACCTCAAGCACAGCAGCTGCATGACACTCCTACACCAAGCCCCAACAGGGCAGATTAAATAAAGCAGTTTGCTAGGCTGCATCATTTTAAGAGCTTGACTGTACATTCACTCCCTGGGTAGTTCAAAGGCCTCATTTATTGCAGCTCCAGACAGAATACAAGCATTGCCCTTCCCCAGGCTCAGGTACAAAGTCAAGGTGGGCCCTCTGTATCCTAAACCAGCACAGGGGACTGGTTGCTAGCAGCATTTTTTAATCAGAACCTTCTCTTTCATTCAATTTATTTGTGCAAGAGCAGCTAGACTCTTTGTCCTCCCTTACAGCACAGGGAAGGGGTTTTTCCTCTCTCCTCCTAACCTTCCACCTCAACCAGGGGCAGTCAGAGGAAAGCTGACTCCATGTGCAGGTTTGTCCATAGCTGCCAGGAAGCTGTAGGAACCAGTAGGAACCAGTGCTAGCAACTGCTCTCCCTTTTGTCAGCATGCCAGCTGTGAGCGCAATCATTTTCTGTTAAAAGGGGCTGCTTTCTTCACTCATAGTCAGGAAGGGCAAACCATTCTCTCAAGTTGATGTCAGAGCTGGAAAAACCCTACCATGATCCAGGAACAAGTTCGTATTGTTCCAACAGGGACAGCTCCTTGGAGAAATGCTCTCAGCACCACAGACAGCTTTTGCTTTACCATTCTTCTTTGATCTTGCCTCCTTTCTCCCTCTGCAACCCTCAACAGCCTTTTTCCCACTTTCATGATTTACAACACGCCTGTTGTACCAGGGAAAAACCAAACCGGCTCTAGACCTGTACTTTAAGACCCTGTCCCAGTTCTCCCTCTTGGCCACCATGCCATTTAGCAAATACCGGGATTTCCTTGCCATCTGTAACAGTTCTGTTGCTAGACCACAAAAAGGATGATTTCCAGCCCTGAAAACCTCATCTCTGCTGGGAAGAGCCAATTCTGTGCCCAAGAGGGTTTGAGCACAGAATTCACAGCCAGAGAAGCCTCAATTTAGTACTACCAGGGACGGGCCCAGCTCCCATACCCTCTTTTCTCTCACCACCAGATAACAGGCTTCTTATGCTACACTAGGGATGCTGCCAATGCCCAAGTCCTCGCCCAGGAGCTGCTGCTCACCCCCTCAAACATACCCCACCTCACAGTCGTTGCCCCGTTTTATTTCATTTAAAATCGGCTGTGTTAAATATTTTAGTTACAAGTTCTGTGTAGAGGGTAAGAGTAATAGACTCTGCAGGCACTAGCAACCCCCTCACTCCCCAATACATGTGTGCGCTATCAGATTAAGGACTGCCCCCCTCCCCCCAAAACCAGCAGCCTTGGGCTGGCATATACATTACACTTAAAGACCTGGCCCACCCCAGCTGCCTCTTTGCTGGTAGCAGGCCAAGCCCTTGCACGCAGGAAGCCAGCAGCCGGATCCACGGCCAGTGAGCTGTGATTCAAGGACAGCTGCGGGGGGCTGGTTCTTACCCCCGTGTCGGGCATGTAATGGTGAAAGGGTTGTGCCCCCAGGAACAGTGCTACCTCCACAGAGGTCACGGGCTCTGCCCACCCAGACATGAACATTCACACCACAGTGACCAGGCTTGAGAGAGACAAACGATTTCCAAGGGAAAGCAGGGGAGCTGCCACTGCTGTGTTCCTGTCTGTGGAGGGAGTGTAACGAGGGCATTGCCAGAGGCATGACACCTACCTCAAGCCCTGCTCCGATGAAAACCTCTGCTGCAAGCGGCCTGGGGGTCTCCAGACTGCTCTTGCAAGGCAGATGAGTGTGAAATATGTTCAAACAAAACAGGGACAGAACAGTAGCCTTTCCTCTCCTCTCTCTCCCAGGAACCTCAGTGCTAGGAAATAAAGCTGAACCTGCCTTGGAGCGGCAGGGAAGGGTACCCTAGCACAGCAGCAGCAAGCAGTTTCCACTGGTATAGGACAAGCTGGAGGTGAGAGTTTGGTGCTGTGAGGGAGAGGATGCCATACAGATGGCTCTGGAAAGGGAGTGCCATTCAGTGGTTGGCCCACTGCATAGCAATCCTCGTGAGAAACTGAACCTTCGTTAAACAGAAGAGGAAAGGAGGTAGGAGCTATCCCCATAATTCCCTCCAGGACAGCTCCCATCACAGCCGGAGGGAGGGAGACTGGAATGACCCCTGCCAGTTCCTGAATGCCCTGCATCGCCCCTGCTGGTGCTGCGGCCCTGCCCTGGGTGGGTTGTGTGGGGGTGTGGCTGCTCTACAGGTCGAGCAGCAGCACGCGGGGATCCTCCACCGCTGCCTTGATCTTGCGCAGGAAAGTCACTGCCTCTCTGCCGTCAATCAGCCGGTGATCGTATGTCAGCGCCACGTACATCATGGGCCGCACCTCGATCTGAAGGGGAGGAATAAGACAGGCATTAGTGAGCTCAGCCTCACTGCCTGCATGATGCCCTCCTGGATGTGTCCTGCCTGGCAGGATTACCCACCCACACTCACTCAACCCAGGCACTGACCACCACCCAGGCTGGGTCCACACCACACAAGACTAGGTACCTTTCTGGAGCTGTGCTCCATCACAAAGGCTACAGCCTCCTCCTCCTCCCCACACCTAAGCAGATTATCCAGTTCTCCCCCTCACGGATAGGACAAGGCCTCCTGCACACCTCAGGCAAGTACCAGTGCCAGCAAAGCTGCCCTACATCCATTAGTCTCTGCTCCTCCTTCGTAGTAAAGCTTTTTAGAAATTGACACCAACCCCCTAGGAAAAGCATATGGGCTATGGTCCTCATCCCACTGAGCCCTCTCCTCTGTTCACTGAAACCTCCTGTGCAGCTCCACCTACCTTGCCTCCCACAGCCACAGGCCTGTCGAAGATAGCATGCATGCCTAAGATGGCAGATTGGGGTGGGTTAATGATAGGTGTCCCAAAGAGTGACCCAAAAACCCCTCCGTTGCTGATTGTGAAAGTGCCGCCATCCATGTCTTCAATGGCCAGTTCATTTTTCCGTGCCTAAAAGAAAAAGTAAGGTCTTAGAAAGCCACACAGATCACAGAAGGTAAAGGACAAGGGTTTGGATGTTCACACTCTCCAGGAATAAATGCTGATGGCAAGAGCTTCACTTATTGATCTGTTCAGCTGAAAACCAGCACTAATTACTTGAAAATGCATCCTGCCTTTAGATCTGAACATTTACTGGCTTTGGGGAAGGATTCTCTTGCCTTCGCTTCCAACTCTGGCTTTTGCAGGAGACTGACACAGGGACTTCTATCCCAAAGCAGTTCAGCCTTTGCCTCTAAAGACAAAGGTGAAGACACATCATGTCACTAATGCATAGTTTGCGGTCTTCTGGAAGGGCAACGCGT